CTGCTTAGGAAAATGGCATTTGGGCGTCCAGTGCGGCTTCCTGGGCCGGAGTTGCCCTGGTCCCCTGAACCACGGCTTCGATACCTTCTTCGGAATCCCAGTGACTCTCTTCTTTGAGTTCCGAGGACCTTACGCCTTCTGGAAGTTCGACTTCAGCCAGCCCTCCTACCAGGTCAGGCTCCCTGGCCTCTCGCTTTTGCCATGGGGACTGTGGGAGTGATTCATCACGTTTTGCTGATGGCGGGATATTTACAGGAATTTGAATACAGGGCGAGTTCCGAGTAGCATTTCTATTTTCTTTCTGTCCCGACGTTATTTACCGTCTTTGGTTTCATGTATTTTATTATATACATCCTATTCATCATTTATATTACACAAAATACCATTTGTTAAATATTTCGTCTTATTTTCTTTCAAGGCGGCCACCACACGATCCGATTCATAATCCTATGTTGCGACTCACTGCCACTTGTCCTTTTTTCCGTTTTGATTTTGGTTGTCAATCTGTCCCCAGCGATTGCTCGGGACATGGGTGGTGGCGATGGCGAGCATTGCGCTGGGGAAGAAATACCTTGGGTGGAGGACTCGAACCGTCATTCTCCTCCTGCTGCTGTCCAATGTTTTTTTCTTTCTGTATTGGTTCAGAGTCGCTCACATTGGCTTCAACAAGGAATGTCTTTGGGGGGTAAGTAAGCAACCCTAATACAGGTGTTACGGAAGTTAAATTCATCGTACAGACTGCAGATTGCTAATTTATTTCCTGTTTACATTGTCTGAAGGAAAAATCTTTATGATATGAGACTCCAGTGAAGTTTTAGCTCTATAAATGAACACGCGAACACCCTCTGTGCCCCCTTCAGGTGTCGCCGTGGATGCACAGGATGGCCAACTCCATGATCCTTCGGCAGGACAAGGTGGTGGAGCAGCCCATCCAGCTGGACGGGCTGTCGCAGCGGTTCGTCAAGGAGTCCCGCGAGTTCCTGGCTCAGCGCGCCGAGGACGAGAGGCCCTTCTTCTTGTTCCACTCCTTCGCCCATGTGCACACGCCCATGTTTTCAGCGCCGCACATGACAGGCGTTAGCAAGCACGGAAGGTACTTGCGCAATGCTAGCTACATAAATGCATAAATACATGCAAATGCGTGTGTATATAATATATACACATATGTGTGCGTGTTAATAATCCTGTTCCAGCTATGGCGACAACGTGGAGGAGATGGACGAGAGCGTCGGGGCGCTGATGGACGCCCTCAGGGAGTTCGGCCTCGAGGACAACACCATCGTGTACTTTACGTCGGACCAGGGCGGCCACGTGGAGGCCATGGATTTCGAAGGACGCCGCATCGGGGGCCACAACGGTCACTTCAAGGGTAAGAGAGAGATGGCCGCCTTGCAAAACGTTCCTCTGCATTTCTAGTAATATTTCAATAATCGACTTATCTCCGTGCGACGTAATATCTTTGACTTGTTCTAATTAACAGGAGGGAAGGCAATGGGAGGAGCTGAGGGAGGCATCAGAGTAGCGGGCATCTATCGCTACCCGGGGCATTTACCAGCGGGCACTACTCTTGACACCCCAACGTCTCTCATGGACCTGATGCCCACCGTGCTGGACTTGGCAGGGCTCCCTTCCGTGCACGACCTCGTCCCAAGGACACCGCGCAAGGTTGCTTCTGTTCTCCCTAATTGTCGGGGAAAGAGAAACGCGCCCTATTAAAGACTGCAGCACTTACAAAGCGCTCAAAGTCCTTATTCAAACAGAATTATTTTGTATGAATTTCATTAACATCATCTTTAAAAGTTTAGCAAAAAAGAATCGTATGAATAATGTACATTCGTGTGTGTATTCATAATAATGTTTATTAAAAAGATAAAATAACGACACACATTCAGTGTATACGTGCGATGCACTTATTTATCTGCATACCCATCTGCTCACTTATTCAGCTAACCCTTACTCTGGCCGAGCAGGACCTGGATGGAGAGAGCATCGCTGACCTGCTGAAGGGCAAGAGCCTCCCCGCGCGCCCTCCCCGAATCTTCCTCCATCATTGTCGCAAGCACATACACGCTGCCAGGCTTGTTACAGGTCATACTCATTTTCTGAATTGGCAGCTGGTTTAATATAAATTTAATTACTGTTATACCATCTGTTGTGTTTGATTATCTTCATGGGGAGACGAATCTCTTCTGCGGTTTATGAATATTGTTACTTTATTCGCACAGATGACCATGTCTACAAAATGTACCTATACAAGCACAAGTGGTTCCCGGGGACCACACAGTGCGGCTGGGGACACACCGTGGGCTGCTCCTGCGCTAAGGCCATGATGCATGACCTCACCGAACAGCCTGAACTCTATGACCTTGTTCGTGATCCCTACGAGGACCATGACCCTATCAGTCCGGAAACGGATGAGTGAGTGTTTGTGTTTTTGATCTGTGTATACTGTTATATGAAGCGTATACTTGAAAGTAGTTACAGTTTCATGGAATAGTAAATGACTTCCAAATGCCAAGTACAACAGAAGAGCGGTGCGGATGCTGGATTTAAATGTATAATCTGGCGAAAAAGGAAAGCAACCAAAATAAACTTAGCGGAGCACAGAACTAGATTCACAGAAATATCGGCAAGGAATGAAAATTGGGTGTCACTTCCAAGTGAATATCATTGAAGGGATATAGATATATAGCGAATTCGAACTTATCAGTCAGTTACATGATCATTTTTTGTCATACTGTGATTATCGAAATCAGAGGCAAATGCGAGAACTTCAGATCCTATCACTATGATCATCTTCCATCATTAATTATTCATTGCATATATGTGTACATATCTCCTTCCACATGCGTCATGTGCGTGCATCCGCAGGTACAAAAAGGTCGTCGGCGCCCTGATGCAGCACCTGGACCAGTGGAACCGCAGCGTCCACTACCCGACGCCTCAGCTCGCCTCTCGCCTGGACATCGCCTGGCTGCCCTGGAGGCAGCCCGTTTGCTTCAACTGCTAGCTGGTCTCTTCACTGCTACCTGCTCCTGTCAGCGCTCTCTTGTTAAATCACTCGATTGCTTACGTTTGCTTCAATTCTCAATTTCTTTCAAGTCGTTCTACGTCATTTTAAGTATTAGAATATTCACCTAATGACAGTGACTCCTGTTAAATGTAACAAAATAGTAAAGAATCAAATAAAACTGTGTGGATTCCTAGCAAAATGATTTATGAGCCGTGAGAGCATACAGATCTATATCTGAAATGAGCTCGGCACTGCATGCAAGTAGGTCGTCAGGGTATTGGTAGGTCTAAATGACCAAACTAAGGATACAATAATGTCAAAGCGAAATATGACATAATATGCAAAACACCCACCGGTAGGGATGTCGAAATCGGCATTCATCTTGGTTTTCCTTTTATAGTTAGTAGGCCTGGTCCTTTTTTCAGAATAATCAATCTTCCCTGGGAAAAGGACAAATTGGATTTTCCCGAAAGAAATGAGGGTGATCTGAAGTATGAAAACTATCAGTGATTTATTTATAAATGGCTTAAAATAAAAACAAAAGACTGAAGTTTAACTTCCGATATTGCATTTGATGAGAGTGAGTACAGCACTAAAGGCAAATAGCATTGTTGAAACGCAGATCAATTAAAACTAAGATATACGATCGAACGCAAACATTTTTTTATTATGTATTCCGAGATATATCGACCATTGGGTAAAAGCTTCTACGTATCCTATAATCCTACTTCCGATAGGCCATTTAATTTCATCTTATGCAGCAATAAGTCTACGGGCTTTCAATGCGCATTTACAATACATATCTGAAATTTTTAATATTTTAAGTTATGCAATTGTCATAATCAAATCATACTTTGAATAGGTGAATCGATGGTTTACTCACCCACTAAAGATATGTACTGGGAAGAATTCAAGCGTTTAATTAACGGTGCGTGACTGAGATAATATGACAGGCAGACATATTTGTCAAGAGGTAGATTACATAACAGTTGAAAAACGTCATACATAGTTTTGTCTGTATTCAAAAAGGTCAAGTTAGTCAACTGCCATGCAATAAACTGTATACGGAAGCGTAACTAAGGCTGTTCCATTGAAAATTCGTATACCATTCATGTTTACAATGGCCTAGCACTCACATGATAAAATCAGTTGAAATCTCTCACAGAACTTGCTACGAGTTGTCAGTGACTACTACAATATTTGGGTCGGTACAAGAACAATCCTAAAATCACAAGGGAAAGGTCCGCAGTGCATTCATTGCCTGAAGAGGATCAATGCCTCACAGTGTAAATACCTTTAGGAGCTTACCAATCGTTATATGGATATGACGCTAGATGTTCGTTGGCGTTTCCTAGAAGTAAGCAAGGAAGGCAGAGAACCAAAGACGAATTCGCAGTAACATATGCGAACAATTTCTGTAAGTCATTACCCATCAAGCTTCAACCGTTAAGAAATAAAGAAAATCATAGGTAAACACCGTATTTTCACAGTCGACTAGAACAAAAGCTGGATCAGTGATACCACACGACCCTGCTCAACGACTAACTTTGTTGACTCTCGAAAATGATTAATACACTGCAGGTATAATAATGCCTATTAGTTATCAAGGTCAGCACGTGACAAGCAGTGTACAGACATCTCACACGTTATCGGAATCATCTGTTTGGGAAATTCGACTAATATGGTAAACTTCAAAGGTCTGACCCGTTTTCACTAGAAAAATGTCATTGATTTTATAAGAGGGAATAAAATGCTGAGAAACTAAGCTCGGATACAGGTTAAACTGACAGGTCGGCGGAACAAACAAACGGAACAAAGATGACCGAACAGTTGTACACTGTATCACTTGTAGCATACTGAAAAAAACATTGTATACATGCTCTATACTCTGAATTTGTAAATATATTACCGTAAAGTAATGTTATGACCGTATATGGAATGCACCAAGAGCTCGTCTACGCCTGCACGTTATATATATACGAAATTCAGTACTAAGCAAAACTAAATAGTCATTACTATAATTGCTGCGCAAGAGGTATTATTTTTGTAACATATTCAGGATACATACACATATATTCTACACCCGAGGAAATTAATGCAGCTAGTGACTGAGCTATTGACTACTATAATGACTCTTAAGACGACTGCTAATGGTTTAGTGTCTTTAACAGGGTTCACATCATGTAGGATGCACGAGGGATGTTCGCACTGGACTCAGTTAGGCGGGGTCTTCAGGTCCTAATTGGCATCGATTATTGACTCGATATAGGTTTGGAGCCCATTATCTTCCAGGTCTGTCTGGCAGGAGAGCACAATATCCTCCTATCCAAAGCCTTGATCGCATACGGCTAGTTAGTGCCGGCGATTTCGAATATTGAGATGATAATATAAATTGAAAGACGATATGGCGAAATTCTGAAGCTGTGATATATATTTAAACACACAAACCATTATGAACAAATGGCGTTTCTTGTCATAACGGTGTCCAAAGTATAGTATAGTATAGTATAGTATAGTATAGTATTTATTGAGCTGTGATTGAATCTTCTAAAATAGCACAAATACATTATGATCCCTTATGGACGAAGATGCTTACCTTCACAAATATGCAACGTAGAAAAGCGTAGCCGAGAGAATTTCATAATTGTGCCAGTAATCTAATTAGCCTGAAAGCCAATTCCATTTGTAAATGCTTCTATGAAAATAGGTCTCAATCACTTTGTGTGTTCTTTTCCATTGTTTCTTATTCATTCCAAGTTATGTGTGAGCTTCGTGACCAAATGGGAATGAATGAGGAGATAGAATGATAAAACGAAAATGTAGAACTTGTAGATTTCGAGAGAAGTGCATTGATATTTTTAACAATGGGATCAAATCTGGTTCATATGGTGTTGTTCCATCGTACTGTAGTTTATCATAATTTACCAACCTTATCCTTGATAAAAACAGGATAAAACATTCTCGCATGTTACTGAAATCTCTTGTTGTTTCGGGAATGACTTACCGGTCTGCTTACAATCTTTAATCTGCAACTGAATCAGATCCATAAACATTGGCTTGATGCGAGCGTAATGCCGATAAGAGTAGGGGATATAACTCACACTGGAGTCGACCAGATGAGAAAATAATAACCCCCCCTCTCTCTCTCGTCCCTTCTCTCCTCTCTCTCTCTCTCTCTCTCTCTCTCTCTCTCTCTCTCTCTCTCTCTCTCTCTCTCTCTCTCTCTCTCTCTCTCTCTCTCTCTCTCTCTCTCTCTCTCTCTCTCTCTCTCGCACTTTCTTTCTCTATTACATTCTTTCTATCTTCCTTTAACCATAGTTCCGTTCGTAGGAGGTTAGTAAAAAGGCTTTATGTTCGTGCCCTCATAAATCAGCTGATGTCACGAATTATCGAAACTGCCAGAGGATGACCGTCGTTCGCTAGAACGGCTGCGCAGGAAGAAGTATTCCGGCCCTGTTTCTAAACTTGAGGCTCAGTCGCAACCGGACGCATGAAATGTCATATCGTGAGTTCTCTGCGTTTTTTTCGTAGGCGATAGTCGTGGAGTAGCAGTCAACTCGTAAAACGGGACTAAGAGCGACGTAATCGTGCCGTGCTGCCCTTGAGTAGAAGTAGAAAGGACTGCACGGCGAAAGTGCGGCGCACTTATATCCCTCTCCATTTCAACGTTCGTTTAGACGCAATTGCTGGACTCTCTCCGAATATGCTTGTATATTTTTGGTGTTGAATACATACATTTAAAGGTAGAATGAGCTTCATAGTAATAATAATAACAATAATAACAATACTTATATTTATAACAATAACAGTATAATATAAACCAAACCGGCCCTTCAGTTGGCCCATGGGGTCCGCGTGCAGAATTTGAGATTTGAGTCTTGCTGGGGTGGGGGAGGGGGTATGAGTGTGTGGTTATGCGTCGAAGAAGTAGATATGCGTATAACGTTCATGAGTGAGGGAGAGGCGCATGTATTCTTTTCATGAGTGAGGGAGAGACACGTGTGTTTCCTTCGTGAGTGAGGGAGAGACATGTGCTTCCTTTCGTGAATGAGGGAGAGACATGAGCTTCTTTTCATGAGTGAAATGAGTGAAACACACGGGCTGAGCACACCTTTCTATACCCCAGCTGTGCTCGGACGTTCTGTTTATTTCGTACGTTGTCTTACTTCGCACTCGCGGTAACTTGCGATCGATTTGCGTCCACCCTGCGGCGACGTGCGTCTTAAACAAACGATTTGATTTCCTTGGAAAGTGAAAAAAGACACGTCTGACCTGTGTGTTCCTTCCTTGGGGAACAAGGGCAACTTGCGTCCTTGGCTTTTCTCTGCATAATCAAAAGCCATCGTTCGTACGGGTTCAAAATTTCGGAAGAAAACCCTGCGTGGCCGGTGAGGTCCTTGGTATATTATACCGCAGAAACGCCGTAGAGGGGAAGTACGACCGGTTGTGACCGCCGAGGCAGAATTAAGGTGGTCCTGTGATTTGGGGATGGGATCCGAAATAAGTGCTTTTAAGAGGTTGTTAACCTCCTATATAGATACTGGTGGCAGAATTGATACTAGGACAAACGGCGGTCTTTATTCTATGAGTTAACACACACGAATATTAAAAGACACTATACGAATCTTGGTGTTGATGGTGCCTGAGGCTAGCTCTGGCGAAGGCAGGATCGAGGAGGATGTGTGTTAAAGATCAGCTTGGGTCATTCCTATATCTGATCAGCGACTGCATACATGTTAGGGCGCTTATTTAGAGCCGCCCTACAAGGAAACTCACGCTGGCCAAAGCCACGTGTACAGTCGCTAGGTGACCATCGCAGACACACCCACGTGTCTGGGAGATTGCTGGACTATGCAGTATGCTATATCTGTGGCATAGGAAGTGAGCTCTGAAGGGAAATGAGTTCTGAGAGGAGGTGAGTTCTGAAAGGAAGTGAGTTCTGAAAGGAGGTGAGTTCTGAAAGGAGGTGAGTTCTGAAAGAAAGTGAGTTCTGAAAGGAAGTGAGTTTTGAAAGGAAATTAGTTCTGAAAGGAGGTGAATTCTGTAAGGAAATAAGTTCTGAAAGGAAGTGAGTTCTAAAGGGATGTGAGTTCTGAAAGGAAATAACTTCTGAAAGGAAGTGTTCTAAAAGGAAGTGATTTCTGAAAGAAGAGAGTTCTGAAAGGAAACGAATTTTGAAAGGAAATGAGTTCT